AGCTGGTTGAGAGAATGTCAAGAGTGTGCAAAGCTGTCATCAAGGCAAAGGGTGGCTATTTGAAGAATCTCAAATATAAACTATATTTTGATTTGTTTAACACTTTTTTGGTTACTACATGATTCCATATGTGTTATTTCATAGTTTTGATGTCTTCACTACTTTTCTACAATGTAAAAAATTGTACAAATAAAGAAAAACCCTTGAATGAGTAGGTGTGTCCAAACTTTTGACTGGTACTGTATATATATTGATTAAGTGGTGCATATTAAGTAGTTAACTAAGCAAAACATCATTATGAATATATGACCAGACATAGAATGGACTAACTGACACTGGAAGCGGTTCAAAGGAAAGCCTTCATAAACACAGATTGGCTACCAAGTAAATTGGGGAACAGGTGCATTGAGAGCAACACACACTGAAACGCTTTGTCCGTTGGACTTGTGCCTCTATCCGTTTGAAAACGGGGGGTTATGTTTAATGCAAAGTTAATATCGATGTAATGCTTGTCAGAGCTTCTCTGTATTTTAGGTCATTCCTAATCCCTTCAATGTTCCGCAGTGGCCGGATCCTAGTCAGAAACAGATGCTGAGCCAGACTTGAAGTGGGAGAGCCCTCGCAAGGAGGCGGCTTAGCGAAGGTGTTAAGACCATCTCCAAAGCAGCGTGTAAAATAAATACCATGCAAAAACACAATTTAAACTTGATGATTATCTTTTAAATATTTAACCAATAATAGCCCATGTAACTTTTTAACAGATGTGGTAGTATTGCATTTTTTAAATGTCCCTGAATTAAGTCATAATCTGCAATCATGATCAAAAACTCTCCTTATTAGGGTATTTATTTGATTAATGGAAAATAATGTAATTTGTCTAAATGCAAATGAGGGCATCTGCTCACTAAATTGGCTACTCTTAAATATATTGAATAGAGCGGCAGAGTGAAAGTCAGGTAAAGAGTCGAATATATTCGGATAAACAAAAAAATAGGTTGCAAGAAGGCAATATATTTGGAATCAAAATGTTCAAACATTTACTTAATTACCTGAATTTAAAACAGTTTTTCTAGTAGGCTAAACGGTTCAAATAATTATGCGGCAGTGTTAAGACTGGATCATTTTAATTTGAATGCAACCACCTCTTGTGTCAACGGATAATGAGCGTGGGGTGGTGAGGGTGCATAATATAATATCTTAAAGATTGGTTTAAATCTTTAAATTGTTTAATTCAGCGACCGACCAGATGTTTTATCTCTATTTGGTAAAGAGAAAACAATCGTGCCAGGCTTGGAAAGCTAGTAGAAATTAGTTTCGGTCACTGGGGCTAAGCTATATTTCCTGCAAACCATCTGCTTGATTTGTACAATAGGGGGATTTTCGAGGGATCGTGAAAGAATAAAATACTTTGAACAAACCAGTGATGTTTTTTTTCTGTGGAGGTGGGTGCTGTTTTAAGGTGTCTTAATATGGGTTTGGCTACAGTTTGCCTCTGCCCTAATAAATACATTATTCAATAGTCTGAAAAGATAAGAGTAGGCTTTATTTGTGTTCATGTGGAAGTGTTTCTGGCGATGTTATTATTGCCATGGCTCCTTTGCATAAAAGATCCATAGCCCAATGGTATTAACCTGAAAATAGGATAAATAGACCAAATAAGCTAATTCGACCCTGCTTGCGTAACATGCAAGACAGCTGGATCAGAAGGATAGTTGGTAGCCTACTAGTGTGAGATAATTTGTCAAATATATTTTAAAATCCTTACCATTAATGTTGTTGTTAGTTATGGAAGTAGGCTACCACACTGTAAACAAAAGTTGTTTCAACTATTTTTCAGTAACTGGTTCCACAGCCTTGTTTTCAACTTACATATTTGACACACGTTGACTACATTGTGCATGTTAATTTATAAAGTAATTAGTAAGCAATTAAACATGTCCTCACCTGGGATTTGAACTCACAACCTCATGGAGCGGCAGGTAGCCATAGGGGTTAAGAGCGTTGGGCCAGTAACCGAATGGTTGCTGGTTTGAATCCCCGACCCGGCAAGGTGGAAAAATCTGCCCTTCAGCAAGGCAGTTACTCCCAACAACTGCTCCCCAGGCGCCGATGACGTGAGACATCGATTAAGGCAGCCCTCCGCACCTCTATGATTCAGAGGGGTTGAGTTAAATGCGGAAGACGCATTTCGGTTGAGTGCAACTGACTAGGTAACAGTATTCCAAACTTCCTGTTACCCCACTATGTCTGTGTCAATAACTGATTTCACCTGTATTGGTGCACTTCAAAGTAAACCTCAGCTCTGTTAAAAGTACAATCAAGAAAAGCTATTTATTTATCATAGTGAAGGAGTAACAATGAAACAGAGTAATATGCTCCACCATTAGACAACTTTACAACTATAAATAAGTAAATCAAATAAATAATGAGGGAATAGATAGATTAACTGATAATCTACACAGACATGGGGGTGTAGCAGGAAGATCGGAATGCCATGAACAAAGAGGTTGTGAGTTCAAATCCCAGGTGAAGACATGTTGAATAATAATTACTGTATACATGAACAATGTAATCATGTGTGTCAAATATGTAAGTTGAAACCATTGTAGCCTTTTTTTAGTTTAATGAACATATGAATTGAGCAAACACATTATTTTAAAATAATATAATTTTTGTCTACATTTTCTCATGTTGGTTGGTCATGTGTTACCTGAATTTAAACATTTGAAGTTCAGGTAACACTTTGACCGAAAAGTTTAGTAAACAAAAAAAAAAAAGGTTGTGGAACCAATTACTTAATATAATTAGTTGAAACAACTAGATTTGTGGGTGTTTTTTGTTGTTGCTGTTTTTACAGTGCCTGCATCTATCTTCCTGGGAAGCTCCTATAGAGCATAATTTCATGGAGATCTACTTTCTACGCCATTACTTAGGACACACGCGGGCTTTCTTTTCCCATCATTTTCAAAGCAGAAGAGTTGACTCTTCAGAAAGAAATGTGAGAGGTAGCCACTTGAAAATGAATGGTTAGGACTTAGGAGAACAAAACCGAGAGAGCAGCAGTCAAACACCATTAGTTACAGGTCTTAGCCAACAGGTCTCAGGATTCATCTCTCCTGTCGGATCACACAGAAAATAACTTCGAAATAGAATCTTCCTCAAATAAACTCTTTTGTTAACTTTTCCCCCTGTTTTATAATCTATTTCATCAATGGGCGTTTATCATTTTCCTCCTGCAAGCTATCCTGAAACGTTTTTACTTTGACATACTACAATAAAACGAACCCACGTGTGGCCCAGCATGCGTCTGACCTAGCACTCTGAACAATGTCTCCCTTTCTACCGGCAGTATACCGTGCAAGAAAAACTTATGGAGCTTGTAAAAAAAAAAAGTCATGCCCTGCATCTATTTGTTTCAACTTGTTTCTAAACTTTTAACTCTTAAAAATATTATCTGACAATAATTGAATGACAGCACTGTAAACTATAGCTGTCATATTATAGGCTACCCGGTTTATTGGTGATTTATGACTAGGCCTATACATAACTATCATGAATTTTAAAATAAAAAGGCCCTATGTCCTTTTTTTTATTTTTTTTTTTTTACAGTTCAATCATAGGGTTCATTCTCGTCCCTTATAAATCTTATAATGACTGTTAAAATATAATATGCATCTAATTAGGCTCAGCAGGCTCAGTGCTTATTTTTTTGTCCTGTGTTTTGGTCTTCCAAGAAATAGGGCCCACATTTCCAAGGCACACACTGGTATACAACAGTTATTTTGAATAAATTCAGTCATTCAATTCAAAACCGTTTCATCTAATGGTGTCTTACAGCACAAATGCAATGTCATTAAAGAATGAGACTAACCGCCCATTGATATCAAGCTGAGAACGATTTCCCAGAAAGATTTGCGTCAGGGTAAGAAGAAAAACAGTTGAGAGTTTGACAGTTACTTCATGGATAAGAGATAAGAGCGCCATGGCCAGAGCTGCACATTATTTTCAGCGGGACCAGCGACATGAAACGGGATCTCTCAGATCACCAGTTTTTAACACACCCGTTAAAATGCTCGGACATGAAACCTGTCTGATTTCCAATGAGAAAAACTGATTGGTACAGATGCCAAAGCCTATTGTGCTCATAATATCCTACTGAATCTGCTACCAAAAACAAATGTAAAAAGAGAAAATGGTCATACAAAAATTTTTAATACAGTAGGCTCTTAATCATTACAAAAACAATAACAATTATGATCATCATCATCATTATCATCATCATAATAATCATAACAATAATAGCCTAATAATAAAACAATAGCCTAATTACAACAATATTTTGAATACAAGTGAATGCGGATAATATTTATAAATAATTACAATTATGGCATTTTACAATCAACTTTTGTGGTCATGTAAATTGTCTCACATTGCAACGCATCCTAATAGAAATGAGGGAATCACTATATTATCACAGTTCCTCTAACAAGCCGGAAACTAAAGACATTATGCAGTTAGGTGCTCAAATGAATGTAATATATCATCTTTTATAAACCCCCTATTCACAGACTAAAGTTGTTTGGAGTCCTTTAAAAATAACATTTTTAATTAGTATGTGTGCTGCCACAATTATCACAGTGAAAGTTATACCAGAGTGGTAAGTATATGCAAAATTGATGACTACACTTTCTTTGTTAAAGGACATTGTCTAGTCTTTGCTTATGAAGTCTCATCCAATCATAAATTGCTTATTCGGACCAATCAGGAGGCACTGAATTTCCCCTGAAAGAAACTCACGTCGAGAACTTTACTGAACTTCATTGTTAGGCTGTCAGTTTCGAAAGAGCTTTGCTAAAGGTCCACTATAAAAACCTTCTTCTAAAGGGAAGGGCCAGAAGAGAACTGTGTGTCTTTCCACTTGGATCCTATAGGCGAGGGAAACTCCTTCAGTGAGAAAGGGCTCTTTACAATTACTTTTCCTTACCCACCCAAACTGAGCAATGATGTTCCCTAGTGCACTTGCGCCTCCCGCTATATGCTCCAGTCTACTTCGACCTCCGGCGGCTCTCTCTCTGCCTCAGTCCTTGCATTCAGCTTTCTCCGCCCACTCGAGCTTTTTGGTGGAGGACCTGTTGCGGATCAGCCGGCCAGTGAGCTACTTGCACCGGATGATTCCCTCACCCAGCGTGTCTTCCCTGGCACCAGGAGCCACCACGCTGACCTGCAGTCATCACACTCACCAGGCTGTCATCTCCACTTTAGCACAGACAAGAACGGGTTCTCCTCAAACCGCACTCTCCATCAACCACGACCCTAACTATCTGAAGTTTGGAGTTAATGCCATCCTAGCACCATCAACGAGAAACGGTAAGATTATTGTGAAAGTATAGGCTAATGTAAACTTTGTTAGAGTGAATTTTGCCTAAACAGGCCACCTGTTATGCAGGGCTTTGAATGTATGCAATGCATGGAGATTATATATATTTTGTCTATATGATTTAACAAAACGAAATGACAGTCAATTAATGTAAATGTTTCTTTCATTTTTAATCACAGCATCCTCTCCACGTTCAATGCATCATGCCATGCACGCAAAAGCCTTCCCTCTGCCATATTTTGACGGATCGTTTCATCCCTTCCTTAGAGCATCATATTTTCCAGGTAAATCCACTTAACCCTGTCATGCCCATGTATTCAGCTGATGTTGTTGCACCTAATAACAATCTGCCTTTATTAGTTGAACCTAAGGGGAATACAATCATTAGTTCAGAGGTTGGAAGTCGTAGAACGTCTTGGAATCAGTCTCGCCAATTTGATGCCCTATTTAGCAGTGCTGACATTTTGCATCAGTTCCCCTAATCTACAAATTAGCCGGAATTGTCATGGTCTAAATTTGAGGCGGATCCCCTCTCACAAGGAAGCTGCTGACGTCTCTTCATTGCTTTTTTTCCCACCGAGCCAGTGAATTTAGCTACTGATAACTCACAAAGCTTTCAGCACCATGACCAATTGGTCAGCTCCCTCCGGGCAGCCACACAGAGACCCAGCGTTGACTTAAACATGCTGTTGATAGGCATTTACCAGTCATGGACTAATTCCCCATTAGGGGCTATTCAATATTTCAATATTCTCACAAGACCACATAGAGTGTTGTGCATGTTTATGGATAGTGCTGTTATGAGAAATCTAAAGTTAGCAAACAATAAATAGCACAGGATCCTGAACTAATGCAATTACAATGTAATGATAGGCTAGCTAATGCTTCAATGCTAGCTGTTAAATATTTCAACATTAAGAATACGTTTATTATTTCCCACACAGTTATAGTGAATTCACATATCCTTTGGCTTTCGAATAGCCAACAATAAAGATAGTGATAAGAATAATCTAAAATTGCTATGCTATATGGTACAGATCTGGGTTTAGACGGCTTCCTTTGAGAGCAATAAAACAACTTCAGCCTTATGAATAGCTTTTTGTGTTAATTTAATGAAAATTATGGGTCAGAAATAGGGCCCAGCCATCAGTAGGCTATTCTCCTGGGCCCAATTTCCCAAAAGCATGTTAAGGCTTAAGTTCATCGTTAGAACTTTCGTAGGAGCATCGCAAAGGGCTCTATTCAATCCGTTTCACGGAAGTTCAGCGTTACAGCTTGATTGAAATTTAAAGGCAATGTTCCCGTGATAGTCAAGACTGCATTCAGGTAAATGCTGCATATGTCGGCTCAATAGGAAATTACTTTTAAATGTAGCCTATATCGCGCAATCTGTAACGCTTCAGCTATACAGATTGAATAGAGACCTACATCTCTGAGCTGTTTCCCAAAACCATCATTATAGTTTTGGGAAACTAAAGTTGCAATTGAAAACGCTCGTTATTTACCGACTGCCTCAGACCACGTAGAACAGCTAAGAGCGTCACTTTATACACAGAGGATCTCCACTAAACATATAATCAAGATGTGTAGGCCCTATCTGTCTCTCTGTGACCGCAGATAACTTCAGAACGAAGTTGCCTACAAATACAAAGTTGCCAATGTCTTTGCAGTTGTTACAAACACGCGTAGGATAAAAATAGGCTTAAAATGAAAACCGAGATGACCGCATTCAAATATAAATACAGTAGGATACATAGGCCTATATTTTTCAATCATGGGCTATTGAAATCAATGTCATGTTCAATCAATGTAGTTATTTTTTGCTAATTGTAGGCTACTGTATCCTAGGCCATGTAATTTCTGCCTCAATATATTTCATGATGTGTAACAACATGTGCGCAATGATGTGTGAAAGAATGAAAAATGTATGCACTCACTAACTGTAAGTCGCTCTGGATAAGAGCGTCTGCTAAATGACTAAAATGTAAAATGTAATGTGCCAAATCTGTGATTTGCGGGTAAGCCATTAGGAATCGCTATTAGGAAACCGGGCCCAGATGATCTAGGCATGCGGTTGTGTTTAGTTTGAAAGTGTAAATCTCTTTAATGGCAGTAATATATGGCTTTAGTGGCCTGTCCTAAGCCTCTTTCAGTTAGTTCATTACTACACAATTACCATTCACGCTTCATCAGCCCCTCTATCTTTCATTGGGGCTTTCGAAAGGGATACTCTGCCTTTTTACCATACCAATGCTATAAGGGACCAAGCAATGTGCTAATTAGCTGCTTCGTGCCAATTCATTCAAACGGACTGCATTTAAGAACTTAAGAACAAAAAACCCGTCAATATTTATAGACTTCGAGAGACTTTGCTTTAGACTACGAAATAATTCGCTTTTATGCACGTTTATCCCTCCACCCACTCCCTGAAAAAAAGAAGGCTAGGCTATGTTGTTAAGCTAGGCTACTTTGTTAGCCTATGTGTGCATTTTCTGGAATGAAATGATGCAATGCTAATTGTATGTTTTTTTTCTTTACTTTTAGCATCCTCTTCAGTGGTTCCTATCCCCGGTACCTTTTCATGGCCGCTGGCTGCAAGAGGAAAGCCCAGGAGGGGGATGCTACGACGGGCAGTGTTCTCTGATGTCCAGCGCAAAGCCCTGGAGAAAATGTTCCAGAAACAGAAATACATCAGCAAACCAGACAGAAAGAAGCTGGCTGCAAAACTTGGGCTTAAAGACTCACAGGTAAAAAATAATAAAACCAAAATACATAAACAACCAGTAGACTAAGTGAATAAGACCAATAGGCACACATCAATGTAAAACATAATCTTTATGTATATTTTGATTACTGGCATGTTATAATATTGTTATTAGAATCAACCATGATTAGATATCCTTATAATATTTAATGTATTTTTCAAGGTGAAAATATGGTTCCAAAACCGAAGAATGAAATGGCGCAATTGCAAAGAGAGGGAGTTGTTGTCGTCCGGAGGTTGCCGGGAGCAAACCCTTCCAACTAAAATGAACCCCCACCCGGACCTCAGTGACGTCGGGAAAAAGTCTTGCGAGGAGGAGGTAGACGCGTTCAGCCCGCGCGCGACCTTCTGCCGCTCTCAATCAGAGCGCGAACTTTTGAACAGTGTGGAGTCGCACCTCTCTTCGCCTTGCAACTCCAGCAAGCACTCCGACTTCTCAGAATCAGAGGAGGAAGAGATTACAGTGTCTTAATTGTACATAATACATACATTATGTTTGTATAAAGTTGTTTGATCACATATATTGTTGAGTATATTTTATATAGACATTATTACCCAAATTAGATCCATGCATCCTTTAACTTGAGCACATTATTTGTCCGTGATATTACCAATTCACCTAGCCTATATGTACATGTAAGGGCTCATATTGGTTGTGGTAGATATTTCTGTACTTATTAAGGGATTCACTTAGTAAATTAGCTGTATTTTTGCAGCTTTTGCTCTTTGTACCATATTTTGTAAGGGCCATTTTTATACCAAGAGGATTATACCTGACTTAAATGCTTATATTAGATGCATTGCCTTTAATCTATGTAGATGTTAAATCTATAACTTAAAAATAAATATATTATTTGTATGCTTTGTTTAAATGTTGTACTTTGAGAGTATTTTTTCAAATAAAACTAGGAAATGTAAAGAACAACTGCTGCTTTCTTGACAATAGTCCAACAAACAGAATAACATGTAAATAGTTTCATTATATTCCCACTATAAAAAGTAAACAATGATTGACAAGGTTTGTCACTGCTTTTCTGTTTTTCTTCTCATAAGAAAGACAGAGGTCAGTATGAGAGAGTACAGTGTCTTCTATTGCCTTAGAACTGACAATGAAAAACTCTCCATCCTGGTTTTACACACTTCTACAGATGGCAGGTATAGGGCTATAAACCAGGACATGCCAGTCCCATTGGTAGCCTAAATAATAACTGAAAATTACATTATTTCCAACAATGCTACTGAGTTGAGACAATTGAAATGAGTTTAACACACTGAACATTGCTGAACAACATTTAAAACCACATGAGGTCAAATAAAACTTTTACCATTTAAAACAACTTTAATAAATAAACACTGGTTTATTGATTTCTCTATGAATAAAACATATGAAAGATGGAAAGCACAGTATCGTGACCAGATTTATTCTGACAATCTCATGGTTTTTCACTACTATAGAAAAAGGAACAACCTATGGAGGAAACCAAACTGTAGGGCTACACAAATTACTCTATAGTTCTGTAAAAGATTTCAAAAAAATTCAGATCAGATATTTACATCTTTACATTACAAAATAAAAATATACATAAACCAAATTCACATATCAAATAATTATTAAACAATTATCAACCACTAGATTCAATAGCATACCTTTCACATCATTCCAACATCCAAACTGTGTGGGACCAAGAAAATACAAACAACCATTTCGATTTGTGCTTGCACCACCCTTTACACGCCTGTAAGATATGCTAGTGAAAATTCAAACCTCGCAAAAATATTCACAGATCAATGTACCTGCAATACAAATCTCGACAATCCTTAAAAATACAAGTAAACTGTTTTGGTTTCAGTCGAAAGTTCCAAATGAATGTTGCATAGAATTTGTTACTAAGAACACTCAGGGGATGAACAGCAACAACACTGGCAGATAATGGGGACATTGTGAGGGGGCGCAACCAAAGTGGTACCTCATAGTAGCGTAAGCCGCTCTGAGAATACTCCATCTTATGAGGGAATAAAGCCTAGTTACTCCAATACAGCAACACTGAGGATCCCATTAACACTGGATGCAAATGGAACCAGCGCTAATTCTTCAGAGTGAGCGACTAGACACGCCAGCCTCCGTCTCAAATCCATGCAGTCGCTCGGATTATTTTCTAGCCAGGGACCTTTCAGATGTGGGTCTACATGTTGAATGTGCCTCTATATAGGGAAACACTGCGTTGGAACATTTCATGCAGGGATGGAGCTCTGTCTAGAGCGGAACAAAATACAAACAGGGGCTTTTGGGATACTATTTGAAACGCTCATGAGGTATAAAGTTCTCATCTTCCCCAGGTGAGCACCAAAAATCCTAAAAGTATCACTGATTTCAAGATATCCATAACAAAAGCCTAGACCTTTTCGTTACCAGCTAGCCGCACATAAATGATCAGGATTAATTTTCATCAAAGCACCTAAACTCTGCACCGCCTCTATAGAAATCAAGAACATCAAAGGCATTGTCAATGCATGTGACCACCCTTGTTATATAGGTAGCAAGGCATCATTTGAAAGCTAAACACCAAAAAGATGTCCACCATGGTGTGTGCCTCTCCACTAAGAAAATGCACACAGGTCAAGCTCTATGAAGCTGAGTGAATGTATGTACAGTTTTTGCTACTCAGTTTGGACCACATAGCTATAGCATAGGTCAGGTCACAGTCAAGGCAACTGGTTTGATGTATCATAAACTATGTCATTCATTTATATGGTTGAGTATCTTTGCCTGTGACTGTAAACATACTCCTAATAAACACTGAAAATAGTAGAAATACTGAGTTAAAATTATTTCAGGTTATTGAACTTTGACTGGGATTTTCATCTCGGGTTACCAGCACCCAGTAAGTATATTTATTATATTATTTATTAGTACACAGTGTAAATAGTGAGTTCCAATTGGTATATAATATGTTCTGACTGCATAAAGACATGAAGTCGCAGAAGTCCAAATTCTAACTTACATTTAAGTCATTTAGCAGACGCTCTTATCCAGAGCGACTTACAGTTAGTGAGTGCATACATTTTTTCATTAAACTTGAAATACATAACCGAACATTGAACCTCAGATCAATGGATGATTAACACAAAGGTATCTCAATTTAGGATGTGTCCCAGAGTGAATTTTCTGACAGAGGGAGACTCATAGTGTGTACTCCAGTGATGAGTCCAGCATGGTGTCTTCATGGTGATCCTGGTTGCTGTTGGAGTCGCTGTCGTAACTCTGAGTGCTGCCGGAGCAGTAGGCTGCCTCCTTTAACCTCATCAGCATGTTCATCTGTGGAGATTATAGAGGTCAGATAGGTTGTCACCTACATACAGACACTCATGCTAACCATAAAGCCATAGATAGTATTTCATTAAGGTGCTTTTAAAGAGTATGTTATTGGATACAAATATCAAGTCAAACCTTTGTCCATACAGTCCATCATCACATACAGGATTATTGTGTAATGCCATACCAAACAGACTTTCTTGAATATTTCCAAATCCAACTGATATTTGGGTTAACAGGAGGTGTTGGCCTTATATCAACATACCAGGGGGTCTCCGTCCGTGTCTCCCTGGGGAATTTGCTTGCTGGGACAGCCATCTTTGGAGATGGAGTATCCATCAAAGCCTATGTCCTCTGGCCGGAGCTGCAGCAGCTTGGGCCATTCGTGCTGCAGGGGGCTGGCTGCCCAGGGGTAGCTCTCCATCACCCACTGTGCTGGATCCTCCCACGGAGCTCTCCTCCCATAGAGCTAGAAGACCGACAGAATCATACTAACTGCTCAGATATTTTCCTTGAAAACAGTACATGTGTGTCAGTTTATTATAAACAGTGTCTTCAGAAAGTATTCACACCCCTTTACTTTTTGTTGTGTTACAAATTGGGATTAAAATGGATTTAATTATCAGTTTTAGTCAACAATCTACACAAAATACTCTGTAATATCAAAGTGGAAGAAGAATCCGAACATTTGTAAAAAACTTAAAATAAAACACTAATATATCTTGATTAGATAAGTATTCAACCCCCTGAGTCAATACATGTTAGAATCACCTTTGGCAGCGATTACAGCTGTGAGTCTTTCTGGGTAAGTCTCTAACAGCTTTCCACACCTGGATTATGCAACATTTACCCATTATTATTTTCTAAATTATTCAAGCTCTGTCAAATTGGTTGTTGATCATTGCTAGACAACCATTTTCAGGTCTTGCCATAGATTGTCAAGCAGATTTAAGTCAAAACTGTAACTTGGCCACTCAGGAACATTCACTGTCTTCTTGGTAAGCAACTCCAGTTTGGCCTTGTGTTTTAGGTTATTGTCCTGCTGAATGGTGAATTCATTTCCCATCGTCTGGTGGAAAGCAGACTGAAACAGGTTTTCCTCTAGGATTTTGCCTGTGCTTAGCTCTATTCCGTTAATTTTTTTATCCTGAAAAACTCCCCAGTTCTTAACGATTACAAGCATACCAATAACATGATGCAGCAGCCACTATGCTTGAAAATATAGAGAGTGGTAATCAGTAATGTGTTGTATTGGATTTGTCTCAAACATAAGACTTTGTATTCAGGACAACAAGTTAATTGCTTTGTAATTTTTTTTAGCAGTATTACTTTAGTGCCTTGTTACAAACAGGATGCATATATTTTATTCTGTACAGGCCTCCTTCTTTTCACTGTCAATTAGGTTAGTACTGTGGAGTAAATACAATGTTGTTGATCCATCCTCAGTTTTCTCCTATCACAGCCATTAAACTCTGTAACGGTTTTAAAGTCACCATGGTGAAATCCCTGAGCGGTTTCCTTCCTCTCCGGCAACTGAGTTAGGAAGGACGACTGTATCTTTGTAGTGACTGTGTGTATTGATCCAAAGTGTAATTAATAACTTCACAATGCTCAAAGGGATATTCAATAGGTGCCCTTCTTTGTGAGATATTGGAAAACCTCCCTGGTCTTCGTGGTTGAATCTGTGTTTGAAATTCACTGCTCGACTGAGGGACCTTCCAGATAATTGTATATGTGGGGTACAGAGCTGAGGTAGTCATTCAAAAAATCATGTTAAACACAATTACTGCACACAGAGTGAGTCCATGCAACTTATTATGGGACTTATTAACCAATGTTATACTCCTGAACTTATTTAGGCTTGCCATAACAAAGGGGTTGAATTCCTTATTGACTCAAGACATTTCAGCTTTTCATTTTTAATTAATTTGTAAACATTTCGAAAAACATAATTCCAATTTGACATTATGGGGTATTGTGTGTAGGCCAGTGACAAAAAAATCTCAATTTAATCAATTTTAAATTCAGGCTGTAACACAACAAAATGTGGAAAAAGTCAAGGGGTGTGAATACTTTCTGAAGGTACTGTATATACATACAGTATACTCTATGTAGTATCTCTCTGTGTCTGTGTGTTAGTTTACTAACCATTATTAAAAGGGCTTGTGCTACTACAAATGTAAATTGATGCCACATTTCAAGCGTTATGCCATTGTACCTGCAGCCCCTCTCGGACAGCCTCCAGCATGTAGGGAATAATGGAATAGTTCCACAGATCTGTGAACCACACTCTGGATCCCTCCACATCCATGGGACAAGATAAGAAGAGGCGAGGCCCTGGGAGGAAGAGAGACAGACAAACGTCAACAGAACATCCCTTTCATTCAATAGAACCTTCAATCTTGTCCCATATATATTTTCTTTATTGACAAATCTCAAATATACAATTGAAAAGTATGTATTCATTCAAGTACAGTCTAGTCATCTATTTCTTAAATCATAATGTCAAAAACATGGCCAGATTATGTAATAAAAAAAGAAGAGAAGAAGATGAATGTGATTTCCTGTGGATCTTACCGATGGTGACGTCCGAGGAGCTGTGGGACTCTAGGAAGCGGTTGAGGTGATGCCAGACAGTAGGGATCCACTTGATGATCCTCACCAGCTCACCGTTGCGCTGCCGGCTGCTGATCTCTGTCTCCATCAGCCTCCTCCTCAGGAACCGACCCAGGAAGCCCTTCACTGGCTCAGTGTGGTTGGCACACAGCACCCACCTAGAGAGGACACCCACACAGGAAACAGACAACAGCAGAGAGGGTGATCAGTTACTGTTGAAATAGACCTCCTCAAGTGAGGGTTAGGCAGAGGACTGAGATATCAATGTTTAAATACTGCCATCTTGTGGCGGATACATGACACAGCAATTACATTTGACATTTCAGAATAGAGAATAACATTATCTTGTAACTGAAAAAAGTAACACATAGAACATTATAGATATGATGTACCTGAAGTTATGATGAAGCTGCAGGTTGGGAGTGGATGACGTAGCCTGGTTCATTGTTCCAATGATATAAGGACTGAGAACAAACAAGGCAATACAATGAAGATTAAGAGCAAGCAAATAAACACTGTGTGAGTGCATGCACCTGTGTGTATGCCTGTATGTGTGCCTGTGTGTGTGCGCGCGCCTGTGTGTGTGTCTGTGTGTTTCTGCGTGTGTGAGTCTCTGTGTGTGTGTGTGTGTGCGTACTGACCAGTGGTGGTGCTTGGAGCTGAGCAGGCCATTGAAGACCTCTCCTAGAGAGCTGACGTGGTGCAGGTTGTCCAATATGACCACCAGGGGCATGTCCACCCCATGACTCGTACTGTTGCACTGGTCAGCCAGGTTAGACAGGTACTGACGCAGCTCCTGGACACCAGAGAGTAGAGTTTACAAAGACAGTACAGTTAATCATTTCCACAAAGGTGGGGGCGAATGACACTGTCTACCGGTGTATGGCTAGCTAGCTACCGGTGTCGCCCCCGCCCCTTCTTCTGTGGGGTTGATCGGCGGCTGGCATCCAACGTTATTGTGCATTACAGCCATCTACTTTACTGGAGCGCCCCCGCCTTCCGCCTGTCCTAACTTAAAAATGGACCAATAGAAGTATAGAGGGGTTCCTGCAGATGCAGGAATGCCAACATGCAGGAACGCCCCGAATTGAGGGATGCAATTGCACCCTTTTCCAAAATTGTGCCAAATAAACGGTTCATTACTCTGAGCATTTATCACAATACAAATTAGTGACATCTGCTGGTCAGGAATAAATATCAGCATGTTTGATGTTTACATAGACTTGTTTTCCAATTGCATCCATCAAAACGTCATGGCGCAATGGATAGGCATCCCACATCCATGTTTCCCTTTTTTCTTCCAGGTTCAATTTATTTAAGACAAAAACTGTGCATCCGTGGTATTATTTAGGATGCTGATGACAAAAGATTAGCATAGGCTACACTAATACAACTATTATAACTAATTATTTGAACAACAATGGGAAGATAGTGTGGTTTCACAATTATTTTAAATTCAACCATAGCCAGAATTCGATTTTGTGCCTATGCGGGTGTCTGATCCCAAATCCCCGTCCCTACCTGCTGAGCTACCTTTCAGGTGCTATAAACTGGAAGAAATGTAACTAAATGTGTAAATACAGTGTCCAGTAGAGGTTGGTGTTTGAAAGCAACTTTGCATCGAAAAAAGCACCGGTACCACGGCGAAATCAGTGGGATCTCATTTTGCAACGAAAAAGCATGTGATCAAATGAAGCTACGAACGTCATTGATCACATGGTAATGTTACTTTGAAACTAACTGTCTATGCTTTGAAACAAGCAACATAGATTTTTTGTTACAAACAAAACATTTACAAAAGACGGTGGCTCCATTGCGTGATTTAGGATATTAAATAAAAAACTGAAGAGCCTATGCTTATTGAAACTCATCATTTAAAAGTTAGAAATACATTGTTGCCAGTGTTTCAAATAAAAAGTTACAACAAAAATGTGTAATCTATACAGGGATTCGATCCTGTGCCTCCACAAGGCAAGAGACTCACTCGCCGCTCTATAGGCAGATCCACCTGTTAGGTAAGAAACAGAGAAGAATATCTAGACTAAGTCTGAAAGTAGTGTCCAGCAGAGGTCAATGTTTTGGAAGCCACAGCAGGATCCACTGACTGAGGGATCAAACAATGTCATTTTATCACGTGGTAAGTGCTTGTCAACTTTGCTTTGGGTTTGAATGAAACTTTCTAAACTCACTTTTACATATTAACAAAAAACTTTGGATCCATAATTTGATAATTACCAATAACAACTGCTAGAGCGGTTTCATTTACAATCACTGTTTGAGAAAGACAAAACATCTAAATAGGCTCTGTCAGGATTCTATACAAGTGTGCTATGCTTTTAGGATAGATTCCTCTGACATATGGCTCTAGGCTCTGAGCTATCGTTCCACCTGCTGTTGCAACCTGGTTTTAGAGCATTTCATATTATTCTGTACGTAATTCCGTGAACTCCATTTGGTATGATATGTTAAGTTTCCTATGTTATGTATTAATTTGTGGATGTCCATCATGCATTTCGTATATGTTACGAATTACAATTAGTATAATATGTTACAAATTTGCTAAATGTATGATATGTTACGGATTCTAGCTAGGTGTCCCAGGTCTGAATTAGCCCCTGATTAGAAGGAGAGGATGAAAAACAGAGGTGTTTCGGCCCTCCAGGACCGGAATTGAAGAACCCTGGGCTAGTGTTAAGTTTAGGCGTTTAGGTTAAAGGGTTAAGGTTAGGGGAAGGGTTAGCTAAAAGGGTTAAGGTTAGGGGAAGGGTTAGCTAACATGCTAAGAGTTGCAAAGTAGCTAAAAGGTAGTACGTTTCTAATTAGATAAAATGCTAAAGCTGTCAGTGATGAGATTGGAGCTCGCAATCTTTGGAACAACGCCAACCCATCTGCCCCGACCAACCACCCACCCTTCTTTTGTTTTTACCTTAAGTAGCCATCTGTCTTATGTAACAATACCAAACATAACATATCATACTAAATGGAGTGTTTCGCGATTTTACGTACAGAATCATACAAAATGCTCTGAGACCAGGTTGGCTAAGAAGGTGAAATATCTAGTTAAAAAACTAAAAGCTTCCAGCAGAGGTTGGTGCTCTTAGTTCAAATCAAATCAAATTGTATTGGTCACATGCGCCGAATACAACAGGTGCAGACATTACAGTGAAATGCTTACTTACAGCCCTTAACCAACAGTGCATTTATTTTAAATGTAACTCCAAGTCAATCACACTTCTGTGAAATCAAACTGTCCACTTAGGAAGCAACACTGATTGACAATAAATTTCACATGCTGTTGTGCAAATGGAATAGACAACAGGTGGAAATTATAGGCAATTAGCTAGACACCCCCAATAAAGGACTGGTTTTGCAGGTGGTGACCACAGACCACTTCTCAATTCCTATGCTTCCTGGCTGATGTTTTGGTCACTTTTGAATGCTGGCGGTGCTTTCACTCTAGTGGTAGCATGAGACGGAGTCTACAACCCACACAAGTGGCTCAGGTAGTGCAGCTCATCCAGGATGGCACATCAATGCGAGCTATGGCAAGAAGGTTTGCTGTGTCTGTCAGCGTAGTGTCCAGAGCATGAAGGCGCTACCAGGAGACAGGCCAGTACATCAGGAGACGTGGAGGAGGCCGTAGGAGGGCAACAACCCAGCAGCAGGACCGCTACCTCCGCCTTTGTGCAAGGAGGAGCAGGAGGAGCACTGCCAGAGCCCTGCAAAATGACCTCCAGCAGGCCACAAATGTGCATGTGTCTGCTCAAACGGTCAGAAACAGACTCCATGAGGGTGGTATGAGGGCCCGACGTCCACAGGTGGGGGTTGTGCTTACAGCTCAACACCGTGCAGGACGTTTGGCATTTGCCAGAGAACACCAAGATTGGCAAATTCGCCACTGGCGCCCTGTGCTCTTCACAGATGAAAGCAGGTTCACACTGAGCATGTGACAGACGTGACAGAGTCTGGAGACGCCGTGGAGAACGTTCTGCTGCCTGCAACATCCTCCAGCATGACCGGTTTGGCGGTGGGTCAGTCATGGTGTGGGGTGGCATTTCTTTGGGGGGACGCACAGCCCTCCATGTGCTCACCAGAGGTAGCCTGACTGCCATTAGGGACCGAGATGAGATCCTCAGACCCCTTGTGAGACCATATGCTGGTGCGGTTGGCCCTGGGTTCCTCCTAATGCAAGACAATGCTAGACCTCATGTGGCTGGAGTGTGTCAGCAGTTCCTGCAAGAGGAAGGCATTGATGCTATGGACTGGCCCACCCATTCCCCAGACCTGAATCCAATTGAGCACATCTGGGACATCATGTCTCGCTTCATCCACCAACGCCACATTGCACCACATACTGTCCAGGAGTTGGCGGATGCTTTAGTCCAGGTCTGGGAGGAGATCCCTCAGGAGACCATCCGCCACCTCATCAGGAGCATGCCCAGGCGTTGTAGGGAGGTCATACAGGCATGTGGAGGCCACACACACTACTGAGCCTCATTTTGACTTGTTTTAAGGACATTACATCAAAGTTGGATCAGCCTGTAGTGTGGTTTTCCACTTTAATTTTGAGGGTGACCCCAAATCCAGACCTCCATGGGTTGATACATTTGATTTCCATTGATAATTTTTGTGTGATTTTGTTGTCAGCACATTCAATTATGTAAAGAAAAAAGTATTTAATAAGATTATTTCATTCATTCAGATCTAGGATGTGTTATTTTAGTGTTCCCTTAATTTTTTTGAGCAGTGTAAGTCTGCTCACCAAGTAGATCAGGATCAGTGGAGCGAGGTTGGCCATCTCGGGTATTGACTTTTTTTTGCTTTAGTAATAATTCTCTACTTACTAAGATGTCTAACCTTTACATATCAGTTACCTTACTTGTACACTTTGAAATTATATGAAATAAAGTGTTGATTCTTTGAAGTGAAGTGTTTAAACTGGTTTTAATTGTTAACTATTATTCAACATTAACTCGTTTCAAAGTTGATTAATCACAGATCACAATCCTGCAATAAATAGCAGAAGGGAATTTGTCTAATTTGTCTGTGTTTCTGTGCTGTATTCTCAAATGAATATGACCTTGTTGTTCAGTTGTAACCTCTCCAATTACATTTATTTGACTGTCACTCTCAGGATATGAGCTATGTGAACCCATTTTGCAGCTGACGATAATGGCATACAACGCCAATGCAGCCATAGGCTTAACTCACACATTGTTTACATATTGTTGAGCTATATGTTCTCAATTTAAAAACGATATCAGTAGACAAGACATTTAAGTGGGGGAAAAAAGTATTCAGTCAGCCACCAATTGTGCAAGTTCTCCGACTTAAAAAGATGAGAGGCCTGTAATTTTCATCATAGGTACACGTCAACTATGACAGACAAATTGAGAATTTCTTTTCCAGAAAATCACATTGTAGGATTTTTAATGAATTTATTTGAAAATTATGGTGGAAAATAAGTATTTGGTCACCTACAAACAAGCAAGATTTCTGGCTCTCACAGACCTGTAACTTCTTCTTTAAGAGGCTCCTCTGTCCTCCACTCGTTACCTGTATTAATGGCACCTGTTTGAACTTGTTATCAGTATAAAAGACACCTGTCCACAACCTCAAACAGTCACACTCCAAACTCCACTATGGCCAAGACCAAAGAGCTGTCAAAGGACACCAGAAACAAAATTGTAGACCTGCACCAGGCTGGGAAGACTGAATCTGCAATAGGTAAGCAGCTTGGTTTGAAGAAATCAACTGTGGGAGCAATTATTAGGAAATGGAAGACATACAAGACCACTGATAATCTCCCTCGATCTGGGGCTCCACGCAAGATCTCACCCCGTGGGGTCAAAATGATCACAAGAACGGTGAGCAAAAATCCCAGAACCACACGGGGGGACCTAGTGAATGACCTGCAGAGAGCTGGGACCAAAGTAACAAAGCCTACCATCAGTAACACACTACGCCGCCAGGGACTCAAATCCTGCAGTGCCAGACGTGTCCCCCTGCTTAAGCCAGAACATGTCCAGGCCCGTCTGAAGTTTGCTAGAGTGCATTTGGATGATCCAGAAGAGGATTGGGAGAATGTCAGATGAAACCAAAATAGAACTTTTTGGTAAAAACTCAACTCGTCGTGTTTGGAGGACAAAGAATGCTGAGTTGCATCCAAAGAACACCATACCTACTGTGAAGCATGGGGGTGGAAACATCATGCTTTGGGGCTGTTTTTCTGCAAAGGGACCAGGACGACTGATCCGTGTAAAGGAAAGAATGAATGGGGCCATGTATCGTGAGATTTTGAGTGAAAACCTCCTTCCATCAGCAAGGGCATTGAAGATGAAACGTGGCTGGGTCTTTCAGCATGACAATGATCCCAAACACACCGCCCGGGCAACGAAGGAGTGGCTTCGTAAGAAGCATTTCAAGGTCCTGGAGTGGCTTAGCCAGTCTCCAGATCTCAACCTCATAGAAAATCTTTGGAGGGAGTTGAAAGTCTGTGTTGCCCAGCGACAGCCCCAAAACATCACTGCTCTAGAGGAGATCTGCATGGAGGAATGGGCCAAAATACCAGCAACAGTGTGTGAAAACCTTGTGAAGACTTACAGAAAACGTTTGACCTGTGTCATTGCCAACAAAGGGTATATAACAAAGTATTGAGAAACTTTTGTTATTGACCAAATACTTATTTTCCACCATAATTTGCAAATAAATTCATTAAAAATCCTACAATGTGATTTTCTGGATTTGTTTTCTCTCATTTTGTCTGTCATAGTTGACGTGTACCTATGATGAAAATTACAGGCCTCTCTCATCTTTTTAAGTGGGAGAACTTGCACAATTGATGGCTGACTAAATACTTTTTTCCCCCACTGTATATGAAGCTAATCATTATACCAGATGTTGTACATGCCTTGTGCTGACATTAAATTGTTTAGTGCAAATCCAACTTTAGTAATCTAGCTAGTGAAATGTCTGGAAGCAGGAGATGATGGGATCCTTAGCTTAAAACGTACATGTACTACTACCAAGTTCAATGCTAAGATACTTTTCTCCCAGAAGGTCTGAATGGCACTTGGATGTGCCAATGTGATAATGAAGCTGGTTTGCCTAAGACTACCACAACAATTACATTGTCTATGCTAAATGTGTTTAAATTGTAAAGAAAGAAAGAATAGTTATGCTATAAGAAATACATTTTATTCAATGGGGAAAGGCAAAGCAGAGACGACACACAAAATACTTTTCATTTCACCCATATAACAATAAAGCCTATTATTAAAGTACAGTATGTTTACAATATCATAAACAATTAGAATTGTACATGTTGTTCCAAATTACATTTTACATATTCATACATGTGTACCTAAATAAATTACTGTGAAACTGTTTCTGTTTCATCAGCAGTTATTGCTACACCCTTCATTCGGTTTAAGGGGGCACTTTTGTCATGATGACAAGGTAACGGTGCTCTCTACTCAAATGGCACAACAGAATAATTCAGATTGACCAAGGCACAGCGTATAACAAACCATTTTGTCTGAGGGATTTCTCCTTTCATATCTGGAAAAGGACAAAGTAGTAGAAGTCGAAACTGATGCTGCAGCATTGTTCATCCTCACAGTGGGAATCCAGTCGACATGGGTGTCTTGATAGAGTTCAGCTGGTGAACCTACAGTACATAACCAAATACAAAGCACAACTGATGTTAGAATATCACTTCTTCAGGTCACCTATACCATCAGGGCTCTTGATTGTTTGGTTGTGTTTAATTCATTTCAGGTGTTTTCACGTCATATAAATATTACATCTATTGTTGGGCTGGAACAACCAACAGTCGACACAGCAGGTTATCCTAGTATATTCCTATGCCGCTACATGCTCAGCCATACACAGTGATTAGACTGAGTATATTAAATAGCCTAAATGATGACTATCCAATCTATTCATCACATTACAAAAAGTAGTCTTACATTAGTCTGCAAATGCAATGATAGATGCATGCAATGCAGTGGAGGCTGGTGGGAGGAGCTATAGGAGGACGAGCTCATTGTAATGGCTGGAACGGAATTAATGGAACAGAGTCAAACATGTGGTTTCCATTTGTTTGATACCGTTCCCCTTATTCCATTCCTGCCATTTCAATGAGCCCGTCCTCCTACAGCTCCTCCCACTAGCCTCCATTGACGCAATGCTTTATTATAAAGGTGCATTTTTATGGTGGAAAAAATTGCTTCCCCAAAACTTGAAACTCACATGCCGCCTTTGACTACAAGCTATCTACCTAATGTTGGCTACTTAGTCTTGTTGTTAACACCTGGTTAGCATAACAGATAACAGCTAAATTCAAAATCAGACTTACCAGGGAGCAGACCATGTACTGACAGCTGTCTGGGTTCAGGTCTTGATGGGCAAAAAGGTTTCTTCGCTTTTCTGACAGTTATCTCCTTCGTGTTTCATGATTGCGGGTAATCTGTAAAAATATATTTTCCCCGTTGTTGTTCCTGCCCTGTTAGAGCAGACAAATACGGCACAGAAATTGACTATGGTGATGAATGAAGTAGTTTTAGGCACTGTTTTCATGCAGCTTGGGGTAGCCACTCAGCTGTAGTTGTCGTTAGAATTGATGCAGTGGTCTTCCAACATGGCCACCAGGAGGCGTCGTATGTCACCTGGAAACACTCTATTCCAATTACTGTATCCTCCAACAGTTCCAGTTTGCAATGTAAGGGGAATAACCATTTCCATTTGTGAATCTCCTCTCTCATATACTTCCATATCGGTTATATTTTGGCACCTCCACTATCATACAGAAAGTATCCCTTGGTAAAGGTTATTTCCTACATTCAACTTATTAGTCATGATAGTGTTTGACAGACCTTGCTGGACTTGTGGTCTACGTTGAACGTGGCAATGGTCCCGTCGGTGACCTCTCTCCCTTCCCTCAGCACTATGTGTTCGGCCAATCGGCTGGCCAGGAAGCTCTTCCCGGTGCCACTGGGGCCAGACAGGATGATCCTCCTGTGCTCATGGAGCTGGGACACGTAGCGCTGCAGCAGGGGTTTGGGGATCAGTGTCTCAAACACCAAGTCGTCTTGGCTGTGCTCACACACACCTGCAGACAGGGGGCAGCACAGGACACATACATTAAAGGGTAGGTTCACTTTGGTGTTGTTATTTACTGATCCAGACAGCTCTTAATTACAGGGTTCAGATGTATTTAAATAGTGGTCCATTCTTGCCCATACCTTTGAGAGAGACAGAGATGGTGTCACTGTCTCCAACGAGGTATCCACAGGGCAGGAGTTCAGGGGTGTCAGCCCCACGTGTGCGATGGATGTCCCCGATGCTATAGCCCAGGACACTGTCTGAGTTTAGACCCAGCTGGCTCACTGGGTCCACCTGGATAATGTACTCCTGCAGGACCAGGGACCAATTAAACATCAGATCAAATCAAATCAAATTGTATTTGTCACATGCGCTGAATACAACAGGTGTAGACCTTACAGTGAAATGCTTACTTACAAGCCCTTAACCAACAATGCAGTTTTAAGAAAAATAAGTGTTAAGTACAAAATAGATAAGTACAAAATTCAAATAAAAAACGAATAATTAAAGAGCAGCAGTAAAATAACAGTAGCTACAAGACAATGGACCAATCATACATCAGACAAAGGACCACAAACCAATCACAAGTCAGATACAAGTGTCACTCTAGTCACTCCTCTACCAGGCTGAGTTTTTAGTGTCTGTTGATTTACCTTAAAAAGACGTCTGACCACCCCATCCAGCACATCCCATTTGGTTTTCCCACTGACACCAATGCAACCAATCAGGAACTGACGAGGTCTACGCTCCTATAGAATATGAGGACGAATTGATCATAAGATATGATATTAAGGACAAATAAGGTGACAGTCATACATTTTTTGGTAGCCATTGTAATTTCTGGTGAGTTGGAAGTGTAAGATGTTTCGTACCTCTTTCCACTTGGCGTCCTCATCTAGAGTTACGACCACCTTGACGTGTCGTCCTTCTTTCCGTGAGCTACCATCCCCGTTGTCCTCCAACAACATGTCTACAGAGACAGGGACATAGATATTAGCTATTGCATACAAGACTACAAACACACACACGCACATGCGCAAGTGAATGCACGTGCTCGCACGCGCACAAAGACTAACACAGGCGCACACACATGCATGCACGTACGCTCGCTCATTCACACACACTCTCTCACTCACCGAGGCTGGTGGACTCTGTTAGGGCGAGGCTGTGCTGTGACTGGCCCGCTGAGGGTGAGGTCACTGAGGCTTGTGAGGCTGCTCTGCTGCAGCTGCCCTGACTCTCCATCTTCAGACGGTCGTTCTCTGTCTTCAGCCTCTCTATCTCGCCCTGAGGACAGATTAGAACACACATAACTCTCAGCATCGTACCACTTTGTATTTGACGTGCTTTGTGATGGACAATGTTTGCGTGGTCATTTCTAGGGTGTGGAGTTTTCCCCTAACCATGCAAACCGTGACCAGGAAAATGCCAGGTCACAAGGTCAGGGAAACCTCCAGGCCCTCATCATGTCATATATCAATGGTCATATGTGACCATGTTTCGGTCACCCTCACCTGCATGCGGTTCATGGACTCCCTGAGCTGGTCCAGCTGGTGGGCGGAGCTGAGGGCCTCCAGGCGTATGTCAGTCAGCTTCATCTCCTTGTCTCGGAGCTCGCTGCGGAGCGCCATCACCGTCTCCGCCTCGCTGTCTGTGCACTCTGAGATCCTGCAGACGAGACAGATGTCTGGTCAGTTCAAGGTTAAACAGAATGCTAGTCCTCAAGAGCACATCCCAAAGAAACCTCATGGAGCACAATTATGATTTTCTTACAAAGATTTAAAAAAACTCAGTAACATGCTGTACAAGTAATTGGTTTGTCACTGCAAATAATTATTGTAGCTTATTCCAAGTTAATCCAGAGGCACTGAATCACTGTGTGATAGATAGGGGTTCAGGCAATAGTAAACAGGACAAGATCAAGGTCCTGTGAAGGATGTGTGTGATTGGCTCAAAATTCCAGTTTCAATGGCACATCACGTTGATATTAATTGGTTAAATAATCATTTGGTGCATCAGGGACATTTGTTAGGATTATCCATCATTAGAATTGATAATAAAGTGAATGGTGGTTATTCAGACATTATTCATACTCGATTACTGAGCCAGAGACCCAGTCCTCAACACCCCAGTGCTACCGGGCCAGCCACGCCCACTAACAGGCAGGGGAGAGAGAAAGGGACTAGAGACACACATAGACAAACAGACAGACAAGAGAGGAACAGCTTCAAGCGAAACATCCAACTATTGACTAAAACAATGAGGCCATAAAGTCTCTAATGATACCACACACAGCTTGGGGTACTGGGATATACTGTACATATATAGTACCAGTCAAAAGTTTGGACACACCTACTCATTCAAGGGTTTTTCTTTATTTTTACTATTTTCTACATTGTAGAATAATAGTGTAGACATCAAAACTATGAAATAACACATATGCAATCATGTAGTAACCAAAAAAGTGTTAAACAAATCAAAATATATTTAAATAGCCACCCTTTGCCTTGATGACAGCTTTGCACACTCTTGGCATTCTCTCAACCAGCTTCATGAGGTAGTCACCTGGAATCCAGACCCCTGAGTTGACTGTATTAAATTAGAAAAACAGGGAGCCTCCATAATGATCCACTAGCCCCTCCCATTTAGAAACAGGTGAGTGTCTAATAGCCTGGGCCCAGGTACTCACAGAGAGTTGGAGTGGGAGTTCCGGATCATGGGTGTGGAGGTGGTGGAGCCGTTATAAGCCGTTAGCTTGGGGGAGGAGGGCAGGGAACAGTCGGTCATCTCCTCTACGTCTGAGTGGGAGGACGCAGACTTGGGCGACTTCTTCTTCCCAAATGCCTGCTTGAAGGAGCTCCGCAGCTGTAGCCGGGGATGGGGATGGGGGTCAGAGAAGAGCAGAAAACAGAGAGACCTGATTACATAGTAAAACACACAGACATATAAGGGGCCCAGAAATACATTTGAATCACAAAGCAGTTATACACTTCTACTCTTTCACTATCTCCATCTTATCAAGGAATAAAAGTCTGTTTTGGGAATTAGTGTGTTAAGCTTACCTCATAAACCTCCACACGATATGACAGCACAAGAGGGGAAAGACAAGACAACAGACAATCACACGACCATAGACACGATCATAGACACGACCATAGACACGATCATAGACACAACCATAGACATGACCATAGACACGATCATAGACACGACCATAGACATGACCATAGACACGATCATAGACACGACCATAGACATGACCATAGACATGACCATAGACATGACCATAGACACGATCATAGACACATAGACATGACCATAGACATGACCATAGACACGATCATAGACATGACCATAGACACGATCATAGACATGACCATAGACATGACCATAGACATGACCATAGACAATTTCAACTTTTAGCTTGGAGACACAATAGAGGTAGGGTGGATTTATTTTGTGGAGACAGGAATAATCCAATACTTTGTGTACAGGTTTTAGGGACAGAGAATATGCTGTATGCAGCTCACTAAAGAGACTGAATGCAAACTATAATCTCACAGCTACAAACAGGGAATGAACACAAGGCTAGGGAGGAAGATTTCAGATATCACTTTTAAAACCTCACTAATTGACATGACTACTCAACCACTAAAGGGCAGATTTAGATATTTAAATTCAGTAGTCATCTGCCCCCTTGTGGTCAAATAGTCAGGTATGCCACAGTTGTACTTCTAACTAATACACAGATACTAGTATCGTCACTGTCTGCGTACATAGTCATCTTTCACCTTCCCTCCAGCACACGCAACAGCATTATATCAGGCCAAAAGAAAACACACAGACGTTTTAATTTCACTTCATAGGTTAGTACAGGCAGTGCTCAACCAACATACTGTATCCACACCTCTTTTCTACAGGCAGAAAATGCATGAGTATATTGACCTAAACTTGTATCTCCTAACTAACACATTACAGATGACAAACCTTTTTGTAGTGGTGTGCAGTTTCTTTGCTGTTTGTCATGTGTAATAAGAGAACACCTCACAATTCTCAACTCACAATCTAGTTTCTAGAGCAGCTCATTAACAACAATAACTATATTCACCTTTGCTCCTGCACAAGGAGGCTGAGCACAAACAGAAGGATTGGAGGAAAGGGCAAGAACATATGACAGATTAGACATACAGACAGAGACATACAGACACAGAGCGACAGACAGCTAGCCAGCCATGTAGATAGACAGACAGACACCGAGTGACAGACTGACAGCTAGCCAGCCAGCTAGATAGACAATGAGTAGAGGACCTACCCAGTTCTTCTTCGTCTTTTTGTTCTTGGCGTCCAGCTCCAGGTTGCTGCCCACGCTGGAGTGGCTGGTGGCGCTGGTGATGCTGGACACACTGTCAGACGAGTGCTGTCTGCGGATACACAGGTCTGGTTGAGACTGGGGGCTTCCATTGGCGGAGGCTGTGGGATGCACAAGAGAGAGGGTGAGACAAGGACCAGATGATGGCATAGAATTGGAATCCATTCTGATTCGGTGTCAGATGCCTTTCTTCTCACTAGCCAATAGCCATCCATCCTTGTTGGGTTTCCATGTTGATGTGGGAGGTAACTTCTCACCTGGCCTATCACCTTTGCAGGTGAGCTCTGGCAGGTTGATGACACCGTTGATGGCTGCATGGGCTGCTGTGTTCTGCTTCTTCAGGTATTCTATGGTCTTCCTCAGCTCGTTCAGCTCAAAGTCCTAAAATACAACAACATGATAAAGCAACACATATTTCTGAGGAAACAGATATTTTGACAGCTCCAGTCCTTACCTTCTGCTCAGCCGTGGTGGTAAGGCCCTGGAGTCGGATGGTCATGTTCCCCAAGCTCTGCTCAAATGCTGCTACCAGGTGAGCCTACAGACATACACACAGCAGAACACATTTAGTTACCCATGTATAAGTTTGCAAAACTGACCTGCTGACAATGTCATTTGTTCTCCTTCAACTGACATACATTTGTTTCATTTGTAAACCCAACTCAGGGCTGTGAAATGGGCAACAAACTGCAGTTCTTGAAAAAGGTTTTGCTCATAAGAACATACCCACATACTTTTCACAACATGCATACACAGAGCCAAAACAAAAACATACACAGGTGATAATGGCTTCCGTGTCATGGTGTACATAGAGTATTTTGAGTAAGAATGACAGGAATTTAGTTGCTCCACAGGGGCAGCTGGGGAAGTCACTGCATGTTAGAAATGGTTCCATGCTGATATACAGTGCCTTGCAAAAGTATTCATGCCCCTTGGCGTTTTTCCTATTTTGTTGCATTACAACCTGTAATTTAAATGGATTTTTATTTGGATTTCATGTAATGGACATACACAATATAGTCCAAATTGGTGAAGTGAAATGAAAAAAATAACTTGTTTCATAAATGTATACAAAATAAATAACGGAAAAGTGGTGTGTGCATATGTATTCACCCCCTTTGCTATGAAGCCCCTAAATAAGAACTGGTGCAACCAATTACCTTCAGAAGTCACATAATTAGTTAAATAAAGTGTCACATGATCTCAGTATATATACACCTGTTCTGAAAGGCCCCAGAGTCTGCAACACCACTAAGGGGCACCACCAAGCAAGCGGCACCATGAAGACCAAGGAGCTCTCCAAACAGGTCAGGGACAAATTTGTGGAGAAGTACAGATCAGGGTTGGGTTATAAAAAAGAAATCGGAAACTTTGAACATCCCACGGAGCACCTCCCGAGTGGCACAGTGGTCTAAGGCACTGCATCGCAGTGCTAGCTGTGCCACTAGAGATCCTGGTTCGAATCCAGGCTCTGTCATAGCCGGCCGCGACCGGGAGACCCATGGGGCGGCGCACAATTGGCCCAGCGTCGTCCAGGGTAGGGGAGGGAATGGCCGGCAGGGATATAGCTCAGTTGGTAGAGCATGGTGTTTGCAACGCCAGGGTTGTGGGTTCGATTCCCATGGGGGGTATGACAAATAAATAAAAACATGTATGCACTCACTAACTGTAAGTCGCTCTGGATAAGAGCGTCTACTAAATTACTAAAATGTAAATGTAATTAAATCCATTATTAAAAAATAGAAAGATTATGGCACCACAACAAACCTGCCAAGAGAGGGTCACGGACCAAGCAAGGAGGGCATTAATCAGAGAGGCAACAAAGAGACCAAAGATAACCCTGAAGGAGCTGCAAAGCTCCACAGCGGAGATTGGAGTATCTGTCCATAGGACCACTTCAAGCCGTACACTCCACAGAGCTGGGCTTTACAGAAGAGTGGCCAGAAAAAAGCCTATGCTTAAAGAAAAAAATAAGCAAACACGTTTGGTGTTCGCCAAAAGGAATGTGGGAGACTCCCCAAACATATGGAAGAAGGTACTCTGGTCAGATGAGACAAAAATTGAGCTTTTTGGCCATCAAGGAAAACGCTATGTCTGGGGCAAACCCAACCCCTCTCATCACCCCGAGAACACCATCCCCACAGTGAAGCATGGTGGTGGCAGCATCATGCTGTGGGGATGTTTTTCATCGGCAGAGACTGGGAAACTGGTCAGAATTGAAGGAATGATTGATGGCGCTAAATACAGGGAAATTCTTGAGGGAAACCTGTTTCAGTCTTCCAGAGATTTGAGACTGAGACGGAGGTTCACCTTCCAGCAGGACAATGACCCTAAGCATACTGCTAAAGCAACACTCAAGTGGTTTAAGGGGAAACCTTTAAATGTCTTGGAATGGCCTAGTCAAAGCCCAGACCTCAATCCAATTGAGAATCTGTGGTATGACTTAAAGAATGCTGTACACCAGCAGAACCCATCCAACTTGAAGGAGCTGGAGCAGTTTTGCCTTGAAGAATGGGCAACAATCCCATTGGCTAGATGTGCCAAGCTTATAGAGACATACCCCAAGAGACTTGCTGCTGTAATTGCTGCAAAAGGTGGCTCTACAAAGTATTGACTTTGGGGTGGTGAATAGTTATGCATGCTCAAATTCTCTGTTTTTTTTGTCTTATTTCTTGTTTGTTTCACAAAAAAATAAATGTTGCATCTTCAAAGTGGTAGGCATGTTGTGTAAATCAAATGATACAAACCCCCCCAAAAATCCATTTTAATTCCAGGTTGTAAGGCAACAAAATAGGAAAAATGCCAAGGGGGGTGAATCCTTACGCAAGCCACTGTAATGGGTGATGGGCCAGGCTCTCTGATGACTACATATCTACCTGTCTGGGCAGGGTTCCATGATTTAGCAGCCTGGTAGAGATGAACATGAGGCCAACACGAGTCTTAACACACTCTAGCTAGCTATCAGTTGCCTCAGTGAAACCAGAGATCTGCTACCTTCTCACAGCCACAGATGAGCAGAGACAAAGGAAAAAGAGAAATTCTGCTTAAGCAAAATACATTTGGGATGTTTTCTTCTCATATGCAGAGTACAATTATCACACGTATTTGTTATCTTTTGTAGAGATACAGGTATGAGAGAAATGCTGCTTAAAGTCATGCTCGTTATCAACTTGCATGTTGACTCACGAAGATGTACAAAGAGATTGCAGACCGGCTCAGTATGCAGTCAGTTTGGCAATCATATATATCCAAAGAAACCACCTCAAATGCATGAAATCAATGGATGGCTTGTGTTTTAGAAGATAAATGCAAAAAATATTCCACACCGCAGGAATAGGATTTCCAAAGCTGAGGTGGGTTGTAGATATTACATATTCTCCTATGCATTGCTGTTGTTGATATGTTTTGCAAGGAAAATAATCAGCGCAATCGATTGACATTACACAGAAAACCTAAAGCATGCAAATCTTTTTAAATCAAACGTGAAATCAAACATGACGTTCCTGGTAGTTGATAACAGCTTAACAGGCAAAACAAAAGCAGAACATCAAGATTATTGCAACAGAGACGAGCGTGTCCTCTGACATATCTAGGACAGACACACTGAGCTCCAACCTCTAGTTACAGCTCACAACCCAGCCATGTAGTAGCAGTAGTACGCTATACTGCTGGCTCCACAATAAACAGACAAATACCCAGCATGTAGTAGCAGTAGTACGCTATACTGCTGGCTCCACGATAAACAGACAAATACCCAGCATGTAGTAGCAGTAGTATGCTATAATGCTGACTCCACAATAAACAGACAAATACCCACATGCCAACATACAAATTCACTTCCCAAACCAAAGCATCCAGAGTCTCTAAGCTCTTAAGCCTGAGGCCTTGTGAGAGCCCAGAGGTTCCGGTCAGATCCCACCTCAGTGAGGTCCTGCTGTATGTTGCTGTCCTCCTTGTGGCCTGCAGGGCTGTAGCTCCGGCTGTGTCTCAGCCTGGGCTGCAGCTGGCGTCTGGCCCTCTCTCTTGCTGCCTCCTTCCCCAGGGACGGGTAGTGGTTCAGGGGATACCACGTCACCGTCACCGGGCTGCTTTTGGCTGACATGGCTAAAGCTCCTCAGCTCAGCGTGGTCCAGGTCCAGCCAGGGACCAGTCTGCCTTTGATAGAGTATGAGTCCGGTAGCAGACAGACACTGAAGACTGATAGCTAGGTGCTTCTGTTCTGATCATCACACAGAGGTATGAGTAAACACACGTTCTGATTCCTATCACAGCCCAGAGCCCGGCTTCCAAGGAACATGAGCTGATAGCTTGGCAGAAGGCAGAAGAGAAGGCGGGGAACAGATCTGGAGGGCTTCCATCAGACAGAGGGGCTGGTGTTGAGGCATGTGGCAGTCCTGGCTGACTGCTCTACTATCAGGCTGTACAGTCTGTTAGGCAGTCAGTCAGTCAGTCAATAAGGTCCTAGTGCATGTCTGTCTTACAGGGCTGGTAAGGCCAGGGGCTCAGGCCATACTCTAGCACCCTAACCCGAGTTCTCTTACAGCGGACTACATCCTTCATATTCCACCCAAGCCCCCACAGCTGCAGGAACCTCTAGCCTGCTTTGTTGTGAAATCTCTGTTTGTGAGATCCCATAACCAGTGTGGATGCGGGCCCGAGGATGTACCATTTCATTAGGCTGTTACTGTTGCTGTTTCTGCTGCTGGGCTGTCATGTTTGTTTACATTCAGAGAGCAGATAATGGGGCTGAATGCCTGCTTCCCCTCTCAGACCATTACACAGTGTCATGTTCAATGTGCTGTAGGAAGCCACGCAAAGGTAAACATAAACACCTTACGCAATGCTGGAACTCTTTGACTTCTAGGTATTTTAAATGCTGGTAACACGCAACACTAGGACGAATCCATTCCAATGTGCACAACCAAGGCATTATATACAGTTAGCAGGGTTGGGGTCAATTCCATTTAAATTCCAGTCAATTAAGGAAGTACACTGAAATACCAATTCCAATTATCTTCAATGCTTTTCAATGAGGAAAATGTGGAATTGGAATTTGGTTTACTTTATGAATTGACTGGAATTTAAATGAAATTGACCCCAACGCTGACAGTTAGTACCAGTGGAACCATGATGGCCACAGTGCATAGCATAGTAACCATTTGCCATCATACTTACATTAGCACTCAGCTGAGTGGTCAAAGCAGACACCTTCTCTTGGGAAGCGTCCAATTCTCTCCGCAGCTTACGAATCTGAGAACAGAAAAACAAGATAATGCTTATCTACAGGAAATATAATATTAGGACATAGAGTATGTAGTACCCAAATAACTTGCTGGCTCATAAACAGTTATGCTGTTACAGTCCCAAAGGTAATCAATGGTGGCACATTGTTTGTGTGAATGTAAAGTTGTTCTTACCTCTGATTGAGATTTCTCCTCAGGCTATGAAAAATAGGAGAGGAGAAGAGAAGAGGTTTATGCAGGTCAGAGTATGCATGGAATAAGACAGCATGACAAACAATCTGAACATATTCAGTTTCCACCTAAGGCTACAGGGATTCACACAAGCAGTTAACTAGCGATGCAACTCAGCAGTCAAGTCAGATATGTTGAGATGGTCCCTCCCCTTCACCTTCACCCAGACTATAGCTCACTAAGGGCCGGTTTCCCAGACACAGATTAACCCTAGTCCTGAACTAAAAAGCATGCTCAATGAAGAATCTCAATTAAAATAACATTTTTTTAGCCCAGGACTAGGCTTAATCTTTGTCTGGGAAACCAGCCCTAAGCATATTGACATTCGTACTATGTGATTGCACAGTGCATCAAACATGAATCAAAGTGGCGCTCACCGTGGAGTGGGCAGATGAAGTGCTGGACACTAGAGACAGAGAGGAGCCGTGGACTGGAGAGAAACAAAACCACAACGCTCAACTCAATCATCTGACCACATGAATCATGAATATTGGATTCATGTAAGTAGGGATTCATCTCAACCTGACAACTTTGGTAACAGGAACATGCATAAACAGGTCCCCTGAGTGAACGTTTACAACAGTGTGTGTGTGTGTGTGTGTGTGTGTGTGTGTGTGTGTGTGTGTGTGTGTGTGTGTGACCGTGCGCTCGCGTGTGTGCCACTGTTCTGTTACTGTAACTAGTTTACTTTGTAGCCTACCCTTTAATTGTGCTGATATGGTTTGAAATCCACACATCAGCCCCAATATCTAACTGACTGACTACACTCACATATTCACATGACCAAACTTAAAATCTGGCTGGTGAGACATCCAGTATGACACATTCACACTTCAGCAGCAGTCATCAGCCTATACATCATCATTATGCTTTAGTGAGTCCTGTTACTGCACTAACCCAGCCTCGCTATATGAGCTGACTCTCTCTTCATTCATCATAATGGAATGGAACCAAAACATCATCGCAGGACTAAAATGACAGCAGGGGGATGTGCCAAACCTAAAGGTCCAATGCAGCCATTTTTATCTCAATATCAAATCATTTCTGGGTAACAATGAAGTACCTTACTGTGATTGTTTTCAATTAAAATGGTCAAAAATAAACACAAATAGCTTATTAGCAAAGAGAAATTTCTCAAGCAAGAATTTTGCTAAAACTGTCTGGGAGTGGTCTGAGTAGGTGTGGGAAAACTTCTTTCTCCCCTCTCTCTCCAGATAAAATCCTGCGACTTGTGACTGCAGGCCGCCCAACAACCTGCCCGCTTGACCCCATCCCCTCCTCCCTTCTCCAGACCATCTCCGGTGACCTTCTCCCCTACCTCACCTCGCTGATCAACTCATCCTTGACCGCTGGCCATGTCCCTTCCATCTTCAAGAGAGCGAGAGTTACTCCCCTTCTCAAAAAACCAACACTCGACCCCACTGATGTCAACAACTACAGACCAGTATCCCTTCTTTCTTTTCTTTCCAAAACTATTGAGCGTGCCGTCTTTAGCCAACTCTCTTGCTATCTCTCTCAGAATGACCTTCTTGATCCAAACCAATCAGGTTTCAGGACTGGTCATTCAACTGAGACTGCTCTTCTCTGTGTCACGGAAACTCTCCGCACTGCTAAAGCTAACTCTCTCTCCTCTGCTCTTGTCCTTCTAGACCTGTCTGCTGCCTTTGATACTGTGAACCATCAGATCCTCCTCTCCACCCTCTCCGAGCTGGGCATCTCCGGCGCGGCTCACTCCTGGATTGCGTCCTACCTGACCGGTCGCTCCTACCAAATGGCGTGGCGAGAAGCTGTCTCCGCACCACGTGCTCTCACCACTGGTGTCCCCCAAGGCTCAGTTCTAGGCCCTCTCCTTTTCTCCCTATACACCAAGTCACTTGGCTCTGTCATATCCTCACATGGTCTCTCCTATCATTGCTACGCTGACGATACACAACTAATCTTCTCCTTTCCCCCTTCTGATAACCAGGTGGCGAATCGCATCTCTGCATGTCTGGCAGACATATCAGTATCGATGACGGATCACCACCTCAAGCTGAACCCTGGCAAGACGGAGCTGCTCTTCCTCCCGGGGAAGGACTGCCCGTTCCATGATCTCGCCATCACGGTTGACAACTCCGCTGTGTCCTCCTCCCAGAGTGCGAAGAGCCTAGGCGTGACCCTGGACAACACCCTGTCGTTCTCCGCCAACATCAAGGCGGTGACCCGCTCCTGCAGGTTCATGCTCTACAACATTCGGAGAGTACGACCCTGCCTTACACAGGAAGCGGCACAGGTCCTGGTCCAGGCGCTTGTCATCTCCCGTCTGGACTACTGCAACTCGCTGTTGGCTGGCCTCCCTGCCTGTGCCATTAAACCCCTACAACTCATCCAGAATGCCGCAGCCCGTCTGGTGTTCAACCTTCCCAAGTTCTCTCACGCCACCCCCCTCCTCCGCACACTCCACTGGCTTCCAGTTGAAGCTCGCATCCGCTACAAGACCATGGTGCTTGCCTATGGAGCAGTGAGGGGAACGGCACCTCTGTACCTTCAGGCTCTGATCAGTCCCTACACCCAAACGAGAGTATTGCGCTCATCCACCTCTGGCCTGCTGGCTCCCCTTCCTCTGCGGAAGCATAGTTCCCGCTCAGCCCAGTCAAAACTGTTCGCTGCTCTGGCACCCCAATGGTGGAACAAGCTCCCTCACGACGCCAGGACAGCGGAGTCACTCACCACCTTCCGGAGACATTTGAAACCCCACCTCTTTAAGGGATACCTGGGATAGGATAAAGGAATCCTTCTACCCCCCCCACCCCCCCCTCCCAATTGTAAAGTGGTTATCCCACTGGCTATAGGGTGAACGCACCAATTTGTGAGTCGCTCTGGCTAAGAGCGTCTGCTAAATGACGTTAATGTGCCCTTGAGCAAGGCACTTAACCCTAATTGCTCCTGTAAATGACTAAAATGTAAATGTAAAACTGAAAACTAGCTGTTATTGGACGAGAGGTTTGGAACTCTCTTTCTTATTGGTCTATTCACTGTACTGAACACAAATATAAACGCAACATGCAATAATTTCAAAGATTTTACTGAGTTACAGTTCATATAAGGATATCAGTCAATTTAAATTAATTCATTAGGTCCTAATCTATGGATTTCACATGACTGGACAGGGGTGGAGCCATGGGTGGGCCTAGGAGGGCATAGGCCCACCCACTTGGCAGCCATGCCCATCCACTGGGGAGCCAGGCTCAGCCAATCAGAATGAGTTTTTCTCCACAAAAGGGCTTTATTACAGACAGAAATACTCCTCAGAGAAATAAGCTTTTTGTGCGTATGGAACATTTCTGGGATCTTTTATTTCAGCTCATGAAACATGGGACCAACACTTTACATGTTGCGGTTATATTTCTGTTCAGTATAATTTGCTGCCTGTTGATGTTACCCGGCATGCCAAAACAGGCTGTAATTTCAGGCGGTCTTTTCAAACAGCTCTTACACTAAAAGTGCATTATAATTGTATTATTATTCCAACCTCATAGTGTGAAAATATATATATAAAACACAGGGAAATCACGTTTTTGACTGCACTGGGCCTTTAACTAAATGCTTAGCTGCTTACCTAGCGTTTGTACAAACAAGCCTAAATTAT